AAAAAAGGATGTTTAGGTACCCAAACAGGCAAACCGCCTGGGACATTCCTTCGATCTGGGCGCGAACGGGCCTGTGATATACCCCCTGGCGCCCCCCTTTTGGGAGTGCTGAAACCAGCGCCTCGCCTGAGACATCCTCGGGAACTGCTCTGAAAGAGAAGGATGTTGGGCACCGAAACAGGCAAACCGCCTGAGATGTACCTTCGATCTGGGCGCGAACGGGCCTGTGATATACCCCCTGGCGCCCCCCTTTTGGGAGTGCTGAAACCAGCGCCTCGCCTGAGACATCCTCGGGAACTGCTCTGAAAGAGAAGGATGTTGGGCACCGAAACAGGCAAACCGCCTGAGATGTACCTTCGATCTGGGCGCGAACGGGCCTGTGATATACCCCCTGGCGCCCCCCTTTTGGGAGTGCTGAAACCAGCGCCTCGCCTGAGACATCCTCGGGAACTGCTCTGAAAGAGAAGGATGTTGGGCACCGAAACAGGCAAACCGCCTGAGATGTACCTTCGATCTGGGCGCGAACGGGCCTGTGATATACCCCCTGGCGCCCCCCATTCGGAGTACCGAGACCAGCGCCTCGCATGAGACATCTTCGGAAACTGTTTCAAAGCGGAAGATGTCAGGCACCGAAACAGGCGAACCAGTCGAGACGTCCCCACCATTTCGGCGCGAACGAAGGCGTGCAATACCCCGTGGCGGCTCCCCCCTTGGAGGCGAAAATGAGCGCCTCGCTCGAGACATCCTCCAAATCTGCTCCGAACTCGGATGATGTCGCGCACCAAAGCAGGCAAACTTCTCGAGACATCCCCGCCATATTGGCGCGAACGGAGGAGTGCAATACCCCTCTGGCGGCTCCCCCTTGGAGGCGAAAATGAGCGCCTCGCTCGAGACATCCTCAAACCTGCTCAGAAAGGGGAGGATGTCGGGCACCAGAACAGGCAAACCGCTCGAGACAGCCCCGCCATTTTGGCGCGAACGGAGGAGTGCAATACTCCTTGGCGGCTCCCCGATGGAGGCGGCAATGAGCGCCTCGCTCGAGACATCCTCCAAATCTGCTCCGAAAGCGGTCGGGCACCAGAACAGGCAAACCGCTCGAGACATCCCCGCCATTGTGGCGCGAACGGAGGAGTGCAATACCTCCTGGCGGCTCCCCCTTGAGGGCGACAATGAGCGCCTCGCTCGAGACATCCTCCAAACCTGCTCCGAAAGCGGAGGTTGTCGGACACCAGAACAGGCAAACCGCTCGAGACAGCCCTGCCATTTTGGCGCGAGCGGAGGAGTGCAATACCCCCTGGCGCCCCCCTTGGGAGTACTGAAACCGGCGCCTCGCCTGAGACATCCTCACAACGTGTGTGTGTGTGTGTGTGTGTGTGTGTGTGTGAGTCTGAGCGCGGAAGTACCAGAAGTGTGAGTGAGTCTGCATATGAGTGATCCCGAGCATGAGAAACCTGAGTATCAAGAACCTAAGAGCGAGTGTATCTGAGTATGAGTGAGTCTGAATATGAGTGAGTCTACATGTGAGTGAGTCAGAGAATGATGACCTGAGGGTGGTAGGTGTTGAAGGTGGGAGGTTCTCTCGCGTTCCGCGCGGTCTAATTAATTATTCACTGCGTGGAGCTCCCCATATGTGCATCTCTTGTCATTGGCATTTCCGCCGTGCATGTCTAGGCGCAAGAAACTTCGAATATAGACGATCTTGGATATTGACAGCCTGGGAGAGAGTCTAACTGGGTCGCGGGTGGGTCGCAGATGGGTCGCGGGTGGGTCACGGGATGGGTCGCGGGTGGGTCGCGGGGTGGGTCGCGGGTGGGTCGCGGGTGGGTCGCGGGGTGGGTCGCGGGTGGGTCGCTGGGCGGGTGGCGGGTGGGACGACGAGAACAAACAACAAACAACAAACAACAAACAACAAACAACACACAACACACAGCAACAACAACAACAACAGCAACAACACCACAACAACAGCAGCAGCAACAACAACACCACCACCAACAACAACAACACCAACAACAACACCACCAACAACAACAACACACAACACACAACACACAACACACAACGAACAACAAACAACAAACAACAAACAACAAGCAACAAACAACAAGCAACACAACACACAACAACAACAATCATCTTAAGACTGTTCGCCCTTATATGCTCGAGTGTCCAATAACGCGTATTTCCCAAACCCTCGATACCCGCCCTCTTCGTCTTCGATCGAACCGGGGGTATACCCTTCCCTGCAGGCCGGGCCCCGGCAAGCGGCGGGGCGGCCGCGGACCGTCGGCCTGGCCAGCGGCAGCGCTGATCGGCGGGGCGGCCGCGGACCGTCGACCCGACCCCAAGAGGGACGGACAGGGGACCGACCACGACGACGACGACGACGACGACGACGACGACGACGACGACGACGTCGAAGACGACGGCGACGACGACGACGACGGCGACGACGAGCGAAAGCGAGAGCGAGAGAGAACGACAGCAGGGCCACGAAGGGCACGGAGTAGGCCACGAAGGGCGACAGCGGGGACGCGAAGGGAATGCGTATGGGGCCACGAAGAGCGCGAACGAGCGGGGGCCACGAAGTGCAGATAATGCGGGGCCACAGAAGGCAACTATGGAGCCACTGAGGGTAGCAACTGCAAGGCCATTCTTCAGTAAGTTGCAAGCAAGTCTCCAGCGAGAGCGCGAATCCAGAGCGCTGGGAGAGCGATTCCTGAATAAATTGTAAGGAAGTCCCAAGCGAGAGCGCGATTCCTGAATAAAATGCGAGGAAGTCTCGGGCGGGAGCGGGGGTCCTGGCTAGATTGTAAGGAAGTCTCAGGCAAGAGCCGTTGTTGTTGTAACCCGGGGGCCAGGGGCCCAGTTTGAGCATCAAGATTTTCCCTGTCAAAAAACAGGGTGCGAGCGTCGAGGGGCACACTTTGATGGAGAAAAAACAGTATGCACCGGTGGGGGGATCAACAGAAATTATTTTTCAAAAATGAGAATTCAACAGCAATAACAACAATACCAACAACAGCAACAGCAACAACAACAACAACAACAACGATACCAACACCAACACCACCACCAACAACACCAACAACAACAACAACAACAACACCAACAACATCAACAACACGAATCCGCATCGCGGAATTCCACTTCAGCCACGCACCCAGGGACAGTGAATGACCGTTCGGTTCAGCCCCCTCACTCTGACGTAAACACAAAGGATTCGTGCCACAGGAGAGGCCAGATCTATAGGAACGTAAGTAAAGCACATAGGATTGGAGCCGCTCCTGGTGCCTCCTGGGGCCTCCTGGGGCCTCCTGGGGCCTCCTGGGGCCTTCTGGGGCCTCCTGGCGCTTCCTGTGGCTTCCTGAGACCTCCTGGGACCTCCTGGGGCCTCCTGGAACTTCCCGTGGCTTCCTGGAGCTTCTCGGGGGGAGCCTCTTGTGGCATTCTAGAGCTTCCTGTGGCTCCCTGGCGCATCCTGGGGCTTCCTGGGGATTCCTCGAAACTCTTGAAGCTTCCTGGGCGCTCCTGGAACCCTTTGGAGCATCCTGGAGCCTCTCGGGGCTTCCTGTTGCCTCCTGAAGCCTCCTGAGGCCTCCTGTGGCTTCCTGGGGCCTCCTGGAGCCTCCTTGGGCGGGCCTCCTGGGGAGGATCCGCCCACGATTCTGGCAGCCACAGCAGACAAACCGCTCGAGACATCCTCGCAATCTAAGCCCCCAGGGGTGCGAATGCCAGCGCCTGCACTCGACGAGTCTGGCCGCTAAAACAAGCAAACCGCTCGAAACTTCCTCGCAATCTGGGCCCTCTGGGGTGCGAAAACCAGCGCCTCGCACGAAGCATCCTCCAAGTCTGCTCCGAAAGTAGAGGATGTTGGGTCAGGGAACACGCAAACTGCTCGAGGCATCCCCGCAATCTGGGCGCGAACGGAGACCGTGCAACACCCCTGGTGCCCCCCCTTAGGAGTGCTAAAACAAGCAAGCCGCTCGAGACATCCTCAGAATCTGCTCTGAGCGCACACGAGTCTGGTCACCAAAACAGGCAAACCGCTCGAGACATCCTCGCAATGTGGGCTCCTTGGAGTGCGACAGCCAGCGCCTCGCACGAGACATCCTCTAAATCTGCTCCTAAAACGAAGGATGTTGAGCATCAAACCAGCAGACCGCCTGAGACATCCCCGCAATCTGGGCGCGAACGGAGGCCGTGCAATACTCCTGGCGGCTTTCCCTTATGAGGCGCCCCGCACGAGACATCCTCAACATCTGCTCCGAAACCGGAGGATGTTGAGCATGCAAACGGGCAAACCGCTCGAGACATCCCCGCCATTTTGGCGCGAACGGAGGCCGTGCAATACCTCCTGGCGCCCCCCCTTGGCAGTACTAAAATCAGCAAGCCGCTCAAGACATCTTCATCATCTTCTCATCATCATCATCATCACCACCACCACCACCACCATCATCATCATCATCATCATCATAATCATCATCATCATCATCATCATCATCATCATCATCATCATCATCATTATCATCATCATCATCATCATCATCATCCGCGTCCTCGTCGTCATCATCATCGTACTCATCCATCACTCACCATCACCATCATACTCACATCATACTCTCACCATACCATGTTCATCATCATGGCAATCATCATCATTGTCCAGTGCAGAGATGGAGAAGGGGAGGGGAGGGGTCCGGCGCGGTCAGCGAATAACGGGAACCCCATCCTTTGGATGTTGGGAATAACAGGAAACCCATCTTTAGGACATGGGGAATACAGAGGATGGGCCAGGGAAGAAGGGGGAGCGGAGGGGAAGTAGGATGGGAAATGAGGAGGAAGAGGAGGAGGCCGAGGAGGAGGAGGAGGAGGAGGAGGATGATGAGGAGGAGGAGGAGGAGGAGGAGGAGGACGAGCAGGAGGAGGAGCAGGCGCAACAGGAGGAGGAGTTGGAGGAGGAGCATGACGAGAATGGAGGGGGTGGCGGGCATGCCCAGGCAACGCCGTGAACAAGCGGCCCATGAAGGCAGAGGCTCGCCCGCCGCGTCGCTGAGGAGGCCGCACGATGACGCCGCATCAGGCGGAGGAGGAGGATGAGGAGAAGAAGAAGGAGCAGGAAGAGGGGGAAGAGGATAATGAGGGGGAGTGGGATACTCAGGATAGAAACAAGATGGAGGCGGAGGAGGCGGAGGAGGCTGAGTGGGAGGTGGGGAAGGCGGGGGGAAGGCAGGATGAGGGCTGGGGAGGCCGAAGGCAGAAAGGAGGATGAGGAGGCAGGAGGATTGGGCCTGCGATGCGATACTTACTCTTCCTCCCTCCTTCTTCCCCTCCTCCCCACTGCTCGTCCTCCTCCGCCTCTTTCTCTCCGCCTTCTCCCTCTTCCTCCCTCTCGTTCCTCCGTACTCCTCCTTCTCGTCCCCCTCCTCCCGCATCCCCCTTCCCCTCATCCTCATCCTTCCTCCCCTCTGCACTCGGCCCTCGTCCACCTTCCTGCTCCCGCCCACCTCCCCCTTCCTCCTCCTCCTCCTCCTCCTCCTCCCTCCTTGTCGTCGTCCTCCTCCTTCATCTTCCTCCTCCATTTTCCTTACCCTTCCCTCCCTTCCTACCTTTCTCCCTCCCTCCGTTTCCTCCTACTCCCCTCTTTCTCGGTCTCCTCGTCCTCCTCCCTCCTCCTCCTCCTCCTCCTCCTCCGCCTCCTCCTCCTCCTCCTCCTATGCCCTCTCCTCCCTCTACTTCCTCGTTCTTCTCCTCCTTTTCTTCTTCCTCCTTAGCATCCAACTTCTCCTCATACTCGTTTTCCTCCTCTACCTCTTCCACCTCACCCCTCTCCCTTCTCCTCCCCCTCCCCCTCTTGCCCGTGAGGCGATCCTGATGAACCCGAGGGACAACCTCATCGCGCTTAAGGGTGCCACGGATGGCACGCCCGGGCACTTTGTGCAGGTCTTCAACCTCGACACGAAGGACCCCGACCTCGTCGGCTTTGCCGCGGAGGGTGGAGGAGAACGAAGAGGAGGAGGAGGAAGAGGAGGAGGGGGAGGAGGAGGAGGAGGAGGAGTAGGAGGACGAGAAGGGGAACGATGAGTAGGAGGGGATGGTGGAGATTGTTAGTGATAATGATGATGGGGATGCTGATGCTGATGCTGATGATGATGGTGATGATGATGATGATGATGATGATGATGATGGTGATGATGATGATGATGATGATTCTGATGATGATGATGGAAGGGGGAGGAGGAGGAGGAATGGAGCTGGAGTACCAGTAGGAGGAGTCGGAGCAGGGAGGAGAATGGAGAGAGAGGGAAGGGATATGATGATGTTGATGATGATGGTGGCGGTGATGACGGATAGAATGATGACGATGCAGATGCTGTGGATGCGGATGATGATTATGATGATTTTGATAATTATGATGGTTACGATTGCGATGATGGTGATGCTGATTGTGATGATGATGGTGGTGATGATGCTGATGATGATGTTGATTCTGAGTGGGTTGTTGTTCATGATGATGGTGGTTGCGATGATGATGATGCTGATGATGATGATGACGATGATGATGATGATTATGATGATGATGGTGATGATTGTGGTGATGATGATGATGACGATACCATATGAGGATGATGAGTACGATGATGTGTGGGCTGATGATGCTGCTGGTTCTGTTGATGACGATATTGATTATGCTGGTTGAAATGAGCATGTTTTACGAGGCCTCGCGTTGGCACCCTGTTTGTTCGTGATCGTGATGCTGGCTTTATAGAAGCCGAGGACGACAGACATGCAGGGATGGTACCGCAAGCCTTATATCATCACAGAGGACATCATTTACGCCAGCGATGCGATGTTGGTGTCTTGAAGCTGGGGAGCGCCTCCAACATCATCTGAACACCGTGGCAAAGGTTTGAGACGCATTCGGGTTGGAGCTCGACGAGGGCACCCACATGCTATTACGAATCAGTTTGCAGCAATCATTGTCGGGCCCGGCGGGGAGTCAGTTCAATGCAAAGGTCATGCTGTATATTTGGGCCGTTGGTTAAGCGTGGATGGGATTCCCAAAACAGAATGAACATAATGTCGGGGGGAAGCCAGAAGTGCATTCTCAAAACTCAGTGGTGTATGGAACCACGCGGGCCTGACAGCAACGGAAGGTATAGATCCTTTCGAAAACGTGAATCTTATCCAATCTGCTCTATGGATTGCAATCGTGTGAACTACTGGCTTCTGACTGTGACAGGCTTGATCGTTTCCAAGCGCGATGCCTTCGAAAAACCTACAAGGCCCTTCCTGCCTTTATATCTCTCGTAAGCAGCTAGCACGAAGTGGGTTCAATTGCAGGTGCCCCGACGTGACCCACTTATCTTTTTACAGAAGCAGTTGTTCTTTTTTCGCAAGATGCCAGAAGCAGTTATTCTTTTTCGACGTACGGCTTTGAAGAAGGCCCATTGTATGGTATCTTGCCCAGGGAATGGCGTATCCCCCGCAAGCGCAGGAGACCCCGATTGCAGCGGGCTACTTATATGCATGCGTGCGCATTGAGTCTAGCAGGATACGCCCCCGATCTATGACGGAGTGTTTTTGGAAATGTCCTACAGCACAGTGGGAATCAGCTGTAAGACGTTGTTGCCTACCTTTGTGACTAGTTGTTATGGCTTGCGTGGGCAATTTACGTGACGACCCCCCCTTCGTTCAGCATTCTAGAAACCAGGCTGCTTTTTTATATAGTATTTTTTTCTCCCTCTCGCTCCCATCCCTCCTACCCTTAATCCTCCCTCTTGCATTGTACCATGCTGGTGTAATTCCCGCCGCCGCCCAGTACTGCAATCTGCAGTGGCTGCGTTCAGGCGCAGTTGCGTTCAGCGTGGAATTTGTCTGCTCTCCGCATGGATTTCTGGGCTTTTAATGCTATGTATTGTAGTGGCCTTCGGCCAGTGCCGCCGATCCGGGTCGTTTGGGGTGCCCCCCAGGCTGGGCGGCGACGCTTCGCCGACAGACGCGCGCGCGCTCGCATACATTGCGCACCCGCGCGCACACACACACGCACGCGCGCACACGCGCACGCACGCACACACACTACATACACCCACAGACACACATAGACACACACCACACTCACACACGCGCGCCACCTTCGCAGGTAGTTACGCCGGCAACACGCGCACACGCGCACCACGCACACCCCATGCGCACACGCTCACGCACACGCACACGCACACGCACACGCACACGCACGCGCGCGCGCACGCGCAGACGCGCGCGCGCACACGCACGCGCACGCGCACACGCACGCGCACACACCCACACACCCACGCACCCACACACATGCGCACGCACGCACGCACGCACACATACACACACGCACGCGCACACACACACACACACGCGCACACTCGCATGCACGCACGTGCGCACGCACGCACGCGCGCACGCGCGCACGCACGCACGCGCGCACGCACGCACGCACGCACGCACGCACGCATGCACGCATGCACGCACGCACGCGCGCGCGCACGGACGCACACACGCGCGCGCACGCGCGCACACGCGCACGCGCACGCACGCACGCACGCGCGCGCACGCGCGCGCGCACGCACAAGCACTCGCGCACGCACGCGCACACGCACGCGTGCATGCACACGCACGCGTGCGCACGCGCACCGCACACGCGCGCGCACATGCACGCGCACACGCACGCGCTCGCGCTCGCGCACGCACGCGCGCGCGCACGCGCACGCGCGCGCGCGAACGCACGCGCACACGCGCGCGCGCACGCACGCGCGTGCGCACGTGCACGCGCACGCGCGCGCGCACAAGCACGCGCACACGCGCGCGCGCGCACCCGCGCACCCGCGCACCCGCGCGCCCGCGCTCCCACGCGCCCGTGCGCCCGCGTGCCCACGCGCCCGCGCGCCCACGCACCGACGCACGGACGCGCCCACGCACCCGCGCGCACAGACGCGCAGACGCGCAAGGACACGCGCGGACGCAGGCGCGCGCGCGGACAGGCACCCGCGCACACGCGCGCGCACGCTCACGCACGCGTGCATGGTCGCTCGCGCGCGCCCGCGCCCGCGCCCGCGCGCCCGCGCCAGCGTCCACGCTCGCGCCCGCGCCCGCGTCCACGCGCGCATGCACGCGCGCGCGCGTGCTCACGCGCGTGCGCACAACGCAACGCAACACAACACAACGCACGCAACACGCACAACGCGCACAACACAACGCGCAACACGCAACACACTGCACACAACGCACACATTCAAACGCACCACGCACAACGCGCGACACACCACGCACGCAACGCACAACGCACAACGCGCGCACCATGCAACCCACAACGCACACACAACGCACGCAGCAAACACAACGTGCAGCACGCACAACGCACGCAACGCGCACAACACACAACACACAACACACACAACGCACAACGCTCACAACGCACACCGCGCACAACGCACAGCACACGACGCACGCAACACAAAACTATACAACGCACACACAACGCAAACGACGCACACATTACGCGCAACACACAACGCACACAAAACGCAATGCGCATTACACACAACACACAACGCGCACAACACACGCAACGCACAACGCACAACGCACAAACCGCACGCAACACGCGACACACAACGCATACAACACACAACGCACACAACACACAGAACACGCATCACGCAACGCACGCAACGCGCAACGCACAACGCACACGCAACGCACACAACGGACAACGCACAACACACAACTCACAGGGCTTACAACAGAACGCACGGAACACACACACAACACAACGCACAACGCACAGCGCACGCAACTTGCGCAGCACACAACGCGCACAACACACAACACACAGCACACAACACACGCAACACACAACACACACAACCCGCACAACACACAACAGAAATCGCGCACAGCACACACGACACACAACGCACACAACGCGCGCAACGCACGCAAGATACTCAACGCACGCGACGCACGCAGCACGTGCATCGCACAACGCGCACCGCGCACAGCGCGCAACGCATGCACAACACACAACACACAACGCACAACACATGCAACGCCCAACGCACGCAACACAAACGACACGCACGACGCGCACAACACCAGCAACGCACGCGCGCATGCACCACGCGCAACGCACGCAACGCGCGCAACGCACGCAGCCCACCACGCACAACAGACGCGACATAGACAACGCACGCAACGCACGCAACGCACGCAACACACGCGCAACGCACGCACAACGCACGACGCACACAACGCACGCAGCACGCAACGCGCAACGCACGCAACACGCAGCGCACATAACGCACGCGACGCGCACAACGCGCGCAACGCACGCGACGCACGCAACGCGCAACGCGCGCAACGCGCACAACACGCGCAACGCACAACACGCAACGCACAACGCATGCAACAAACACAACGCACGCAACACAACGCACAACGCACGCGCCGCGCGCAACACGCACAACGCGCGCAACACACAACACACAACTCACACAACGCACACACCACACCACACGCAACGCACACAGCGCGCATCGCGCACGACGCGCGCAACGCACACAACGCACGCAACGCGCGCAACGTGGACAACGCGCAACACGCAGCACGCGCAACGCACACAACGTGCACCCCGCCCACGACACACAAACCACAACACGCAACACACAACGCACACAACAGACACCGCGCACAATGCGCGCAACACGCAAAATGCACAACGCACGCAACGCGCGCAACGCGTGCAACGCGCGCAGCACGCGCGATGCACGCAACGCGTGCAGCATGCAACGCGCAACGCGCGCAGCGCGCGCAACGCGCGCGACGCACGCGACGCGCGCAACGCGCGCAACGCATTCAAAACGCGCGGCGCCCACAACGCACGCGCGCGCGCAACGCGCACAACGCGCGCAGCGCACAAAACACACAACGCACAA